TCGACGGGGAATTGTTTGTCCGCGCGTGGTGCATATAACGCGCCCGCGGATCGTGTAACGAAACCGATTAACCGTGTGCGCCTCTTTTTTGCGGCCTTTTTTTCACGTTTCACGAAAACACGGCGCGTGTAGCGGATTCGTACTGTCGTCGCTCATCGACGCGATTCGCGCTAATTGGGAGAATAATTCGAAATAACGCGCGACTTCATTGATTTCCGGTTAATATATTACGGGAAGAAAAAAAACAGCTCGCGCTCTCACCGTTATCGCGAATTCTGCGATAACTTCGCAAAGCCAAAAGGCTTGCAGAAATTAAAGGGAAGTTAAAAATTCTTTATGTGTATACAACGTACTCGCGCGTATATCGAACTCGTAACCAGTTTCCCACTTCGTCAAATATTAGTTTACACGCGCAAATAGAAAGGGACCGGTTAAGTCGCAATTTATTGCTACCGCGCGTTTCTTTTTTTCACAAATCACAACTCCGATTGGCTCGATTTTTTTCTCTTTTTGCCGTTGTCAATTTTACACCGCAAGTTGTCGTTATACGGAGATTGTATTTTTCGATCAAAGTCAAATACGAACGGAATTTTTAGTAACGGCAAAATCCGTGCCAGAAATGAATACCTAGTCAATTCGACGTTGAATTGACGTCAAATCGACGTCCCGTCAACGAGTCGACAAACGGCCGGTATCGAATGTAGATTGATATTTTTGTCACCTTTAACCTTCTCATAATTGTTTCTGTGTTAATTCAGCAATTGCGAATATCTCCATATGATTTCTATTGTCTTTCGACTTCTAAATGCATACACATACAAAATCGACGCGCAAAGCGTCGTTAGTTATATGCTGTATACGCTCGATGTAGAATTGGCCCAAAAATAAAGGAAAGCTAAAGGGAACTTGCAAAATAACAATTGTAACAAGACAAAAAAAAAGACAAAAATAGACGGTATTTCGACAATTGTCTATTCATCGAGTACACAGTATCGAGTTTGAATTGATGCCAAAATCGACTAATTATTTCTAGCTGAGATACGTATAATTTCGTTTATTGTAAAGAGCCAATATCAATTTCAAGACTGAGCATATTTCAAATACTTGCATATGAAATACAATTCGTATTTTGTATTTTTTATTTCAGCAAAGCACATAAAAGTACTTTGTATTTTGTATTTCAAATGCAATTTGAATCTATTTTGTATATTTAAAATACTAAAGAAATTATTGATAAAAATCCTTGACAACAATTAATGGTAACTTCAATTTTTCTCATATGGCAATCAACGACACTAACTACTTTCGTCAAATTTCGAACAATGTCAAGTCATCAGAGTCAAAAATAAATAGATTTCTCGTGCGGTATAGATACAGAACAAACTGATATAGGACTGTTAAAGAATGTAAGACAGTTAAACAACTTTTTTTCTCTCTCTCTATAAGTGGAGAGGAGAAGGGGGTTCATTATACATATACATAACATTATACATATCGCAATTAAATAATTGACCCTAAGTATAAACACTTTTTTTCACGACGTCGTATACACACCGGGGACCCCATCCATATTTATTACTGTAACTCTAATAAAAATAGATAAATTTCAATTAATTTTTTTTTCGATCGATAGAGAATCGATCAAGGAACAAACCCATAATGTTTAAAAGTCGATAGAATTAAGGAGCTTCAAGATATACGGGTTCAAAGAAAAAGGAAAGTTTCAAAAACGCGAAAAAATCTCAATTTAGCATCTTTTTAAAAAAAATCATATCTCCTTTGTTTATAGACCGATTTGAAAAATCCTTGAAAATTCTGAAAGGGCATACTTGAAATAGTAACAAAAAATTTTGGCGATCCGATATTTTAAT